CTGGTCACTTTTTAAACTTTGTCTAGGTTTATAGGTACTGTTTGAGAATTAAATCTAAACCAGAATTCACGCTGTAGGTCATAGTGGCCTGAACTCCACCTGCCTCTGCCTCGCACGTGCTGGGATTAAAGGATGCACCACCACATGTAGTTTACAGAATTTGTCTTTAATGTATCCTGCCTTTCAGTTATGTCTTTTTCACCTAAGAGAAAATCGGTAAAATAAGCAAGGTATTATTACTACTGACATCATTTTAGATTTATATAAAGCATTCTACTCTTCCTTTAATTAACTGCTATTAAGAATTCACACTTTCGCCGGGCAGTGGTGGCGCACGCCTTTAATCCCAGCACTTGGGAGGCAGAGGCAGGCGGATTTCTGAGTTCGAGGCCAGCCTGGTCTACAGAGTGAGTTCCAGGACAGCCAGAACTACACAGAGAAACCCTGTCTCCAAAAAAAAAAAAAAAAAAAAAAAAAAGCACACTTGCCAGGCATACTGGCAGACACCTTTAATCTCAGTGCTTATGAGGCAGATGGGTTTCTGTGAGTTTGAGGCCAGCCTGGTCTACATTGGCGAGTCCCCAGACACCCAAGACTACATAGACCCCGTCTCAAAAAAATTTTTTTTTACACTTGCCAGGTTCTAAGCAGGAAGATAAATCCTTACAATGAGGGGACGGGAATGGAATGTATCTGAGTTGGTAGAGTGCTGAGCCTCGCATGCCCAACGTCTCCAGCACCACATAATGTAGCTGTGGTGTACACGCCTGTGATCCCAGCACTCAGACGTTCACGACTTCCTCTGTACACAAAAAGTCTGGGACCAGCTTGGGATACATAAGACTCCATCTTTCAAAAGGAGAATTCCTTGACTTGGAGATAGAGAAATAAAATATGTTCTTAACACAACCAAAATTATTGTATGTCAAAACACATGCTTATATACGTTTTAGAGATACTTTAGGCCAATCTAATCAGATCTTAACAAGGAAAAATTTTGAGATGTCAAAACACTCTTCCCTCTAGAATTTGATTGGCTTTCAGGATCACACATGTAGATGCTTTGCTGAAAGATAACATACTTAATTTTGGAAAAGTCTCAAAAATAATTCACTGGGTCCTCTTCTTCCAAGAAGATTGCCTCTAGATTGAAATTATTTGTTTCCAGGACATATTCTTTTCAGGTTGTCAGAGATGTCCTGTCTTCTTTGACTAATTTATACCCCATCATTCTCCAAAGGTACTAAGGAAAGGAGGGGTGTGTTTTCTGATGTATTCTACATATACTTGAGACAGAAAAAAAATGTAATCTTTTTTTTTTTTTTTTTCTGAGACAGGGTTTCTCTGTGTAGCCCAGGCTGGCCTCAAACTCAAAAATTTGCCTGCCTTTGCCTCCCAAGTGCTGGGATTAAAGGCATGCGACACCACTGCCCAGCAAAAAAATGTAATCTTAAAATGTAGATAATACAGGCTGGTGAAGTGGCTCAGTGATGAAGAGAATTTGCTCCTCTTGCAAAGGACTCTGGTCCCCAGAACTCATATGATGGCTTTTAACTGCCTGTAAGTCCAGTTCCTGGCTGTCTGATATCAAATTCTGGCCTCCATGGGTACCAGGCATACATAGTATACTTATATATGTACACACAAAATATTCATGCACATAAACTAAAAATGGTCTTTTAAAATGTAGGTAATAATTACTACCAAATCATGTATATAAAGGAACACACACACACTAGTGTAGACATTTAAAATGATTTTATTCTGGTTAAATAATTTCTAAATCTGATTAGGAATTGAAGTTAAAGAATTGGCCATGGACCTGGGGAAGCGGCTCAGTAGGTATAGGGCTTGCTTACTGTGCAAGCATGCTAGTGTGGATCTGTAGTCTCTACATAAAAAGCTGGACTCAGCCAGTCTGAGGCAGAGATGTGAGCCTCCATGCGGCCTGCTGGACCTCTATAGTCAAAGCAGCCAGCTTCAGCTTCAGCGAGAAACCTTGTCTCATAAAGTAAGGCGGAGAGTAACAGAAGAAGGTACTTGATGTTAACCTCTGGGCTCTACTCATGTACACACATATGTGCATGTGCTTGCACACATATTAGTACACAAAACAAATGCTGAGCTAAGTTTTTAAAAACATTTGTTATTGAAAATTTTTCATACAATGTATTCAAATTACAGACTTAAATCATTGTATTAACAATAATGTTTCTTTTTTTAAGGTGTGACTAATACCAATGAATTATTTGAAAGGTAAATCTTTTAAGAATTCATGATTTTAAATGTGTGTGTTGATATGTTTTATGGAAATTTTGTTTTTCCTATGAATGTGTGGACTTATCTTGCTTGTTTCTCTTGTATAGCCTGGCTATCCTGGACTCACTTTGTAGACCAGGCTGGCCTTGAACTCACAGAGATCTGCCTGACTCCCTCCCAAGTGCTGGGATTAAAGGCATGCACCTCCATGCCTGGCCAAATGTGAACTTTTGTATTACACTTTTTGTAGATTAAATAAATATTGTAAATTTCCTTTAGGAATGGGTATTTTAGGAAACTGGGGAAGGTTTATATTACTTTGCTGATTTAATATAGGTGAGTAGAATGCAATAGACTGTATTGGCTGCATTCTCTTACATTATGTGTTTTAAGATACAGCAGTTCAGACCCATAGTTCCTTGTCATGAGACATAGCAACACTGTGTTCCCTGTATCAGCATAACATCAATGTAGTGCTATTCTCGACAAAACACAGTGTGGTTTAACCATGAGCAGAATGCATACGCACCAAGGAATGTTTCATTAGAAGACCAACTAAGGTTTCTCAAAAGCATCCAGGTCATGAAAAAATGCAAAGGTAGAAATTGTTTTAGATTTGAGAAGACAGATGTCAAGACAACTATACCAATACCAAAGTTGACTCTGGGTGGAAAAGGGACATTAGTGGAACAATTAGAAAAACACGAATCTGTTCTATAGATTAGTTAATAATGGGTCAATCCATGATTTTGATATAAGGTGAAAATCATGTCAGGTAATCACATTTGCAGAAACTGAGTAAGGGTATATTGGAGTGTTACTTTATTTTTTTTATTATGTATATGGGTGTTTTACCTATATGTATATCTGTGTACCAGTTGAGTGCCACATGCCCATGGAAGCCTAAAGGGCATCAGATCCCCTGGAAGTGGAGTTGTAGATGGTTCTGAGTCACCACGTGAATGCTGGGACTTGAACACAAGTCCTCTGGAAGAGCAGCTGGTGCTCTTAACTGCCGAGCTGTCTCTCCAGCCCCAGTTTTGTTACTTTGTTGCTGTTGTTGTTTAATGTGTGCTTTTGGGTGTGTGCACATGAGTGCCCTCTGAAGCCAGAGGCTGTGCATCTCCGGGCCCTGTGGGCATTGTGAGCCACCTGATGTAGGTTCTTGGCCCTTTGGAACAGTGAAAAGTCTAGAACCATTTCAGATGAACTGTTAAAAATTTTCCTCTGGGCTTAGAGCTCATCTTCTGAGAGCATCTATGAAATCATAAGTAGGCTCTTCTACTAAGTGATCCCAGAATTATAGAAATAAAACTAAGAATAATGTAATTAAGTCATAGATACAAACTTAAATTCCTGAAATTATATTTGCAAGTGTTTCAGAAGATCAACTCCAGGTGACTGGCTTGACAGATATTGCGGACATCATTGATGACCTTATAACTAAGAGTGGAGTGTCCAGCCACGAGCTTGGCTTAACAGAATGTCAAGCTAGAAATATATCCAGGTAATCAGTGGGAATGTGTTTATGCTAGGCACAGGGCCCTGGGTCTTGTGTGTGTGTGTATACATATAAGGCACATACATACACTGGATCATGTGTGTGTGTGACAATCTCAGGGCCTTGCCTATGCATACTGTACCATTGAATTACACCTCAACCTCTGAAGACTCTAATCCACTTAAAATAATTGTAGTTCAAGAATATTTAGAATTTGCCAGATTTTAATCTAGTTTTATGAAACAGATTTGCAGCTGAGAATAGATGTTTTCCTAATGAAGTGGTTGTGTGGTACACATGTGCTGTCTCTCCTCACTAACAGCACACTCACTGTTTTATTTACCTGAGTACATCAGTGTTCTGGGAGCTTTCCCCGAGACTCACTGTGCTAAACATACAATAGAAGTCATTAAAGACTGATTCATGGTACTTGATCCTTGGCTACATTTTTAATAGTGTTTCTGTGAAGCACTGAAGTTCATTTTCCACTGAGTCTTTCCTGGATGGAATCGGGCTGACTGTCCCAGTCAGGTGTCCTTAAGTTCTAGGCCTGCTTATATGACATAGGCAAGCTGGTCAGGTGTGAGTCCAGCCTGGGCTACACAGAGAGAGACTGTCACATAGTAGAATTTAACTTAGAGTTAATAGAATTTAATTTGATTCAGTAGAACTGAATTTCCTAGTTCAATTATTAACTTATTGAAAACACAGTGCATTACAATCAAATACCAAAAGATAGAGCACAAAAAAGACTTTTTAAATTTTTAAAATTGTGTGTGTGCTTGTGTGTGCACACGCATGTCACGGGCAGGGTATGTGCGCATGTGCATGCAAGTGTCCATGGAAGCCAGACCCTTCAGGTCCCCTTGGAACTAGAGTTACAGACGACTGTGACCCACCCAACCTGGATGCTTCGAGATAAACGTGGTCCGCTGTGTGATCAGAGGAGCTGGACTAAAGGGCAGACGTCTGTAGCCTGCAAGCATCTTGAAAAGCCCGCGGTCCTTTCTTATTTGTCAGGATTCAGCATCCTTCTGGCCGATGCCCCCAAAGAACTGACAAGGAGAGACGAGAGATTAGAGCCTGGATGAAAAGAAAGCAAAAGGAGCGGATGGCAGAGTACTTAGATCAGCTGGCCGAAAAGAGGGGACAGGAGCGCAACCCCTTCTGCGCCAGAAGCAGCCCGGTAAGTCTGTAGTATCCCAGGAGAGGGGTTCTCACGAGACATACAGGTTTTTTTTTTTCTGGCAGATATTCAAAAAAAGGATGAGTATAATTTAGTTGCCTTTTTTATTGCACAGATAGGAAAAGTTAACCAGTTTCCTGAACAAAGTGTGTTAGTATATTATGCAAACTGTGTTTTATTTAATGGATTTCAATATCATTTTCTCTGTCAGGCTAACTAAGGCTCTGTTGTTTTAAACAAAGAGGTTGGCTAGATGGCTAGTTGGAGTTCCTTCTTCATTTTCAGTGACACTCAGTGCAGCAGTGAGTGTGCTGCTAGTGAGGAGAGACAGCACATGCGTACCACACATAAACTAGATTAAAATCTGGCAGATTCTAAATCTTCTTGAACTACAGTTATTTTAAGTGGATTGGATTTTCAGAGGCTGGGGTGTAATCCGATGGTCTAGTGTGTAAGGACCGAAGACATGGCTCAGTGCTTCCTGCAGGTGCTACTCTCGCAGAGAAGTCAGGTTTGGTGTCAGTACCCATCACAGGTGATGACAGTCCCTGGAATTCAGCACCACAGGGACTCCTTGGGCACTTTCATTCCTCTGTGCCATTTACACAAACACATATGCATAATAAATAATCTATAAAGAATTCCTTTTAGAGACACGGTCCCTGACACTGGCCTAGTGATTAATGCAGAACTGATTACCACAAGTCTTCCAGCCTCCATACACATAACATGGCATGCACTTGTCTACATACAGATAACATACATACAGATAACTGTGAAGTGTGTAGTTTACTCACCTGACTCTGGGGGAAGCCTGTGCTGTTAATATAACAGTTTCTTTTTAAAATTATTTTATGTGTGTGCCCATTTTGCCTGCATGTTTGTGTATGCATCCTGTGCCTGCCTGGTGCTCATTGCAGGCCAGAAGAGAGGGCATTGGCTCAGCTGGCACTGGAGTTATTGATAGTTGAAAGCTGCCATGTGGGTGCTTGAAATCATACCTAGATTCTCTGGATGAGTAGTCAGTACTTGTAATCACCAAGCCATCTCAGCCTACGTGACCTTGTAGGCACCATTGAAACTTTCAAGTCTATTGAAGTGTGTAATCAGAATCTTGACATGTGTATGGATAGATGTCTGTGTTGTCGTTTCCACTGACGATGGCCTCTGGCCCACTGTCAGTCAGATATAAAAACCAGACATAGATTTGTGTACATTTAGAGTAAATTAGTTGTAAAGGTATAAGGACAAGTTCTGAGAGTCAGTTTTCTCTTTCTATCCTATGGGTCCAAGGAATCAAACTTGGGTCTTTAGATTTGGCAGGAAATATCTTTACTTGCTAAGCCATTCTGCTGGCCCTAACGCATAAATTTTGAAAATAGGCACGCACTAGGTTTTTGGAAACAAGGTTTCTCTGTTTAGTCCAGGCTAACATGAAATTCATGATCTTCCTGCCTCAGTCACCTAAGTGCTAATTTCATGGTGTTTGAATCTAAGATTACACTTTACGCTGAGAGAAAACTTTCTCAAATATGACAGTTTTTTGCACCTTTGTAAATACCAGGAGAATGTCTAGTGCCTTAATTGTTGGGACTGAACAATAATGAACTGTTATTTCCTGTGCAGTTTTATATGACTTCAAGGCAGATCAGGCAGAGACAAAAGATGAAGCGTGAGAAAGATAGGTAAGTCCGGAAGTCATGCCCTCAACACGCTCTCTAGCTTGCTCGTGCCTTGAGATTGCATAATAGATTTCTGTAAGTAAAGAGAATGTTATGGGAAATAGCATTTTAAGAGAAGAAAAGCTGGGAAGGGATTCACTTTCAAATATTACTTGAATGAATTACCATTCAATTTTTATGACCTTTATTTCTGCTGCCCCCATACCTAACTTGGATTCATCAGTGTGTGTCTGAAATACCTCAGAAACCAAACGTACAAGCACCTTTATTTTCTTATCATCATTATATTGGTTCTCTGAACCTCGGAGTCATTATGTACCCAGGCTGGCCTCACAGTAGCCTTCCTGCTTTAATCTCCGAAGTACAGAGATCATAAAGTGTGTGCCACAACACCTGGCTTGTTGATCTGCTGACTGAGAACTCCCAAGAAGCCGGGAGGGTTTGTAAAGCATGTGCTCTGTCTCGCAGTACACAGGAAAGGACTGAGAAGTGACCTTTCGTCTCCTGTCTGCAGGTTGCAGCTGTCTCACCACTATAGTCAGCGAATCTCACAAGCATACTGTCTGATGAATGAACTGCTGTCTGACTCAGCACAGATAACTGCACCTGCAGATAGACCCTTACCTCACAGACGCCCCTCTGCTCAGCATTACACACGGCAGCAGTGCTCCCCTCCAAAGAGGTAAGACAGACAAGGCTGCCCTATCTAACCTCAAGACTCAGCAACAGCATAGCACTGAGACAGGGTCTCCTGTGTCCCAGGTTGGCCTTGAACTTGCTATGTGGTCATTGACGACACTGAACCTACAATCCTCCTGCCTCTACCTTCTGATGTCTAGGACTACACACTCTGTGTGTGCTGGGGATTATACCCAGAACCTTATGCATGGTAGACACGTACTAAGCCGCATCTCCAGCCCCAAATGCAGCACTTTTGTGTCACAAGTTCAACGTATCTTCATCCATGCTACCTGGAGTTATAATGATAAGAGGAAGAAGGAAATTAGCTCCATAATTATGAACTCTTACAAATTTATAGTATCACCAAATAAAAGGTAAGAAGGCCAGGCAGTGGTGGCACACGCCTTTAATCCCAGCACTTGGAAGGCAGAGGCAAGCGGATTTCTGAGTTCGAGGCCAGCCTGGTCTACAGAGTGAGTTCCAGGACAGCCAGGGCTTATACAGAGAAACACTGTCTCAAAACAAAAACAAAAGACAAAAAAATACTAAAGTTTTAATAATTGTGTGGTATCTACTTCAGAGAGAGTTCACATGGACAGAATTTATCTGCAAATAGACCTGAAGGAGGCCGACGTATTTACAGATCAAGTCATCTCCGTAACGGGGAACCCTTGGGGCAGCCCCAAGGCTCATCTCAGCTTCGAGGTAAGACCTGAAGCTTCCTTGGGTTTTGTGATTTGCCTGTGTTCTTCGTAGTCTTCAAAGTTATTTTATCAGTAAAAGCCGTAAAACTCTCTCGATTCCAACAGGAAGCATAGTATTGAGAATGGGTTGTTAGTTCAGGCTCCTCATGCTAGATCACAGACATCATTTGGCATTCCTTTGTATGAGTACTGAGGATCACTGTCTACTGTCCTTAAATACAGAAGACTCATAACTTGATGTCTAGGTAGTTTTTTATTATCTTATGTGTATGGGTGTTTTGCCTGCATGTATGTCTATAGATATATAGACATACATTCTGTCCGTGTGCATGCAGTACCCACTGAGGTCAGAAGAGGGTATTGGATCCCCTAACCTCTGTGCTCTGGAAGAGCAGCAAGTGATCTTAACTGCTGAGCCATAGCTATAGTCCCTTGGTGGGTGTTCCTGTTGACCTATCACCTTTCACACTAGAAAGCATTCATTGACACACAAAGTATCAAGATGGCATCTGCCTGGTAGTGCACACCTTTAATCCCAGCACTTGGGAGGCAGATGTGTTGGCTCCTTAAAGCCGGCAGGGCCAAGCGAGAGGAGACAGAGGTCCCGGTCCGGCGGGGTCTCTCTGGAGCTGAGAGGGATGATGAGTGTCTGCTGCCCAAAGAAACACACCCAGCCGGCCGGGAGTCTTGTCGAGGCAGGAACTCAACCTTACTGTAACGACCCCCTGTTTATATAAACTGGGAGCATAGGGAGGAGGGGAAGGGATATGGAGGGTATGCGGTGACTGAGAGCCAATGGCAAAGCTCTACATCAGCAACAGCTGAGCAGAGGCAGGGCTAAACAGGTCCTGTTGAGTCACACTGGGGCGGAAGTGACTAACACAGGTCTCAAAACTTGAGCCAGGCTCAGGTTTGTCCACAAGGGCCAAACCAAGGCCAAAATGGCGCCCAACACAGAAGTAGGTAGGGGAGATGTCTGTGAGTTTGAGGCCAGCCTGGTCTACATAATGAGACCCTAATAAACGAAACAATTATCAAGATAGATATTAAAAGCAGGTGGTAGCCAAAAGACAAAGTAATATTTTTCTATCAGATAAAATAGACTTTGGTAAGTCAGAAATTTTACAAGGAAGTTAATCATAAAGGACTCAGTTTGTCAAGAAGGGAAAAACGTGTGTATGTGCCTGAATTGTCGAGCCAGATACGTAAAGCAAATACTCAGGCACAGAGGGGGAAGCAGCTCCCAGATGAGTGGACAGCACTCCAGGGAGCTGCTAAGGTTGTTGCTTGGTTTTGTCTCCATGGTGCTGGGAATTCAGCACAGAGCTTCACACTGCTACGACACCCTCCTGCTGAGCTGTTCCAGGCCTTAGCAAGTATTTATTATCGCAAGAAAACTATACATAAATAAATTACAGTATGTGCTTGTACAATGAGTAGATCGAAGAAATCAAAAAGGAAACTGGAAAACCAGTACGCCAAGACTGACGGGACATGGAGAAATGGCCCTGCTGAAGCAGTACTCACAGGGACTGCCTGTGTGTAATATACAGCCTGCAGGACAGACTGCACAGAGGAGGAGGAAGGGACAGCACAAAAGAAAGAAAGAAAGAAACATAGACGTTCAAAACAGAATTGACGATCTCAGCCAGGTTAAGAGAAAAAGACTTAGCCATACAGCGGTGGCACACACATTTAATCCCAGCACTCAGGAGACAGAAGCAGGTGGATCTCTGAGTTCCAGGCCAGCCAGGGTTGTTACATAGGAAAACCAACCAACAAAACCTCCTCAAATGTTTAAGATCAGAAATAAAAGGAATCTCAAGGGAGTGCTATGGACTTACATGTGGTCAGATTTGATGACTGGAAAGAAATGGAGAGCCCTGTAGAAAACACAGCTACCAAGGTGAGTCAGTGAGAAACGTGGGCAGGTGGCAGAAGTGTTCATCACGGGGAGGACCAAGTCTGCTTGCCACTGGGTAGAAGTCATCACAGATGTCCCTTACATGCGGGTTCTCACAACAAACTAGACAGTGGCACAGTCATTTGTAGAAACTTGTGCAGGTGTAAAAGCATCCACCTGTCAGTAGTCTTTGTCAGTGAGCTGAGGTGAGAGATCTGTCAGAGAGAGGGGGCGGGGAATTCTGGGAAATAGACATGAGAAATTGGCCAGTAATGCTGAAGGAGGCAGAAGCATGAAACAGAGAAGGTAGCCAGCCACATGGCACTCAGAATAAACGGGGATTTGCCCAGAACTCTAAGGAGACAGGCAACTAACTAGGAGAATAGAGCCAAAGCTGTTGGCCTAAGGGTTTATTATTAGTGTCAGGGTTGTCAGTTCTGGGATCAGTTATCCGAAGGAAAGAACAGGAAATGTAGACTAGAGGACAAAGGACACAATGTAACAAATGTGTAGCCAGGCAGACATCTCCCAAAGAGTTTATAGACAGCAGTGGGGCCCTCAATAGTGTGTTGTGTTCAGTTTGCTGAATGGGTGGCGGGTAGCAAAGAATGGTTAGCTGTCATCTGGTGAATTGTTAATTTATTGTACCATAGTACTAACCCATTTTATCATGAGTATGTTGTCACCATAGTAAGCTTTTACCATGTGTGTGTATTTTCATAATCAACGTAAAATTTATAAAATTAAAGCTTTGATCACACTGGAGGTAGGAAATTCTACACACTGTTTCACAGAAATGCACATCTCAAGATTGTATTGGCTGAATAAATCAAAGAGAAAGTCATGATTCAAAGAGAAGGAAACTACAGGGTCATCTTGGGTAAAATCAGGATCAAAGATAGCTGTTGTCTCATGGTCTATGGAGACACCATTTATATCAGCAGTTCTCAGTCTGGGGATCATGACCCCTTCACAGGCGTTGCCTAAGACCATCGAAAAATTCATAACAGTAGCAAAATTACAGTTAGGAAATAGCAAGGAGATAATTTTATGGTTGGGGTCACAGCATTAAGGAAAGTTGAGTCCACTGGTTTCTATCATCTTCCTAGATGTCAGTAATTATGTTTATTGTATCAAGCATGGCATTCTATGACGTGTAGATCACAACTTAGCTATGGCAGACAGGCGTGGGATTGCATGGTGTTTACAGCCTGTGCTGACCTCTGTGCCTGGCTCTGACTCCTGAGTATGTGAAGGAATGGCCTGGCTCCCCACATTCTTTTGTTTCTGTCTTGAAGACAGCCCACCCTGATGGTTAGATATTGACTCTCTACCTGTGACTTCTTGCCATCTCTCTATTCTTCCCTTCCCCTCCTGTTGTTGTTTTGAGACAATGTCTCCTCACTAGCCGTTGTTGCTTCTCGAGATGAAGTCACCATTACTATCAATCAAATCAAGAGATGATGAGAATTCTGTGTCCATGTCATATTGAGACCTCGTGGCTTGAATACTTGGGAACAGATGTGTGGCTTAGCCATGGCAGTAAGGTCACAGTCGTCAGCTCTGCTTGTGTGCTGCTTTCTCTCTGCAGGCTCTAATCCTCCATGTCGAAGCCGGCGGGCCACTGGGGTGGCTCCTCCAGTGCAGCAGGCATGCATAGAAGAGGAGAGGGAAGAGACAGTGGTGAGTCCCTGGACTCTGCCCTCCGAAATCCACAGGATTCTTCATGACAGGCCCGGGTCCCTCCTGCAGGTAACGGCTGCCCCACACTCTGCAGTTGTCTTTGTGTGTACATGCTTGCGGCAGGATCTCACAGCCTCTGTTGTTTTTTTTTTTTTTTTTCATTTTCTTTCAGCCCAATAATAAATTTCCAACATTTTCTAGTGCCTTCCTCCCTTTCCGAAAATAAGTATCATGGTCCCTCTGTTGTCTTAATCTGGATTTCTAAGCCCTCTAGGTCCGACTTCACCATTCCATGGAGTCTTTTCATTTCCCTCCTATGTTGGATACTCCCTTCTTTTTTGTTTCTTCTGAGTGTTTGGTGTGTATGTGCACGCATGGTGTACATGCACAGGCCCCTAACCTATTCTCCTGACACAGTGTTATTGAACCTGGAGCTCACTGTCTTTTGTGTATATTGGCAGGCCAGTACATCCCCATGTCCATCCTGTGTGCATGCAGCCTCATGTGTTTTTCTCCATGGGTACTGGGGTCTAAACGCAGGTCTTCATACTTGAGCAGCAAGCACTCGTACCACTGAGCTCTCTCTCATCCTGGTTTGCTACCCCTATACCCCTCTTTAAGAAATCTAGACAAGCTTCCAACATGATATAAAGTTGAGGTTATCCTTGAACTCGAGATCCTCCTGCCTCCATTTTTGGAGTGCTAGAATTATATGCCTACAATGTGTGCCTAGCTCCTAGGGTTTCAAACTATAGCCAGCAGATATTTAGCTACCAGAGTTCTCCTTAACTTATATTGTTATTAAAAAGAAAGTACAGAGAACAGATTGGTGTACAGCAGGTATCAAGCCCCATCTTGACTGCCCATCAGATCTGCTGCCACATGTGTGTCGTGTGACAGCTCCTTGTCAGTGCTCCTGAATTCCCACATCCCCTGTACCTCTTTGATGGACCACATCTATTTCTCCAATCCCACAGGACATGTCACCAGCTGAAGAGGAAGAGCCCTCTTTTTTGGCGGGTGGCATGGACAGCGTGTCTGAGAGCACTGGCAGCATCCTCAGCAAACTTGACTGGAAAGCCATTGAGGACATGGTGGCCAGCGTGGAGGATAAGAACCTGTCTGTGCACTGGGCCTTGGACCAGTAGGACCTGCATGACATTCTCTCTCCAGGCACTGGCCAGAGTCTCACGGATGTGGTCCTCAGAGTTGTGTGTGTCTAAGGCTGTGAAACACTGACAGAAATGAGAATTTATGTCCTGCAGCCTTAGGCTTCTCTGAGTTAATAAAACGTGTATCAGTAATATTGCCTTTATTAGGAAAGGTTGTTTAGAGAAAAGTACTATGTTTTGCATGTGCCTTATCTTAAATACATGTCAAGCCAGGTTTTCACAATATTTAAATTACTTTGAATAAAAAAATTGTATCTGCTACTTCCTTTACCACCCTCTGTGTTTCCAGAAACTCCTTATAAAGGAACCTCCTGTTGCTGAGGAGGAAACCAGTCTCTGCTTTAAAGCTCAGTCTAAAGTCCTGCAATTTTGCTGAGCAGGCTCTGGCCAAGGACTGTCAGGAGTCAGCCCCTTCATACTGACCCTGGACTTGTGTCAGGCCTGTCTGGACTGGTAGGCTCAGGGGAAGTCATGGCTGAATGCCTTAGATGGTGAGGGCATGGAAATCCTGGTCATTCAACACTCATCTTGTATTTATTGTGTGTGTGTGCATGGTGTACGTGGCCCCTGTGCGAGGATACACAACAACTTGCCGGAGCTGGTCCTCTCTGGTGTGTAGGTCAATTCGAGTCATCATCTTAGCTTCAAGCACCTTCTCCCTGCAGAGCCACCTCCTCACTGGCCTACAGTGATCATCTTAACCCTGGGAAAACCACAGGGCTGAGGCTTGTCAGAGAAATGACTAAAGCTAGGAGCTTCCAACACTTGTCGTTTGGGGTGGTATTATCTGAGAAGGCTGTGAACTACCCCAACACCCTAACTCTACAATCTCTTAGAGGTGCATGCGACCAGTTTTCATAAGCTTGTATTATAGGGTTGAGGATGTAGTGTCTGCCTACTGTGTGCAAGGCCTGGCTGTGATCCCCAGCACCACAGAGTAAAATTGTGGAGAAACACTAAAGTTTTCTGTTTCCCCTACCCCCTCCATTTTTTGGGGGTGGTGGTGATGAGGATTAATCCCAGGTCATGCCAGAGGGATATGAGCACTGTAGTGAGAGGTCACCTCATCAGGGTTTGTCCTTGTACTTCCCACTCTGGCATTTGTGACTCGTGACAGCTCTGCTTTTGATTGGAGGTTGGGTCTTGGGCTGTGTTTATTTTTACACCTCATTCCACTGTCAGTCACAGTTCATGTAAAACCCCATCTTCCCACACCTTTACGGCCTCCTCATCCCTGTCTTCTCTTACTTGATGAACCTTCTGTAGTTTACCAGCCCCTGTTGTCTCTGAGCCCCAACAGTGCCGTCTTTCTCCTTCAGCTGTTTCACCAGAGTCAACACTTAATCCACAGCCTCCTTCTCCCTCTCCTGCTTTAACGCTGAGAACATGGTACAGACATATGCAATTGGACATCCATCCAGAGATTAACATTACTACAGTAGTCGAGGGTGACTTTGGTAATCTTCTGTCACCACTGTTGGTCTTCCCAACAACAAAATAGAGAAATATGCTAATTAAGTGACAGCACAGATCAGATACTTAACAGCATCTACAGTACAGTCCAGCCAGACACTGCTAACACCTTCTTCATGAACAGCAGCCCATGTGACTTTATCTAGAATAGACTATATTAGGTCACAAGGCAAGTCTCAACAAATGCAGGAAAGCTGAAATAATTCTATCTTACCTAACTAAAATGGGATAAGACTACAAAAAGAATACCCAGAAAAACCCTAAAAAGCACAAACTCATGGAGAGGAAACAACACATTTGAATAGTGACTGAGTCAAGAAATCAAGAAAGAAACAAAACAAGTCTTTGAATCAAATGAAAATCAACCTGTGGCATCCACTGAAAGTATTTCCAGAGGTAAATTTATAGCTCAAGGTGTTTGCACTAGGAAATTAGAGATCTCAAGTAAACAATGATATACCTCAAAGCTCTGGACAAAGAGTAAGCCAAACCTCAAGTCAGTGCACAGAAATCACTAAGAGCAGGGCAGAGGTTATGAAAGGTTAGAAACTAATAGAATCAATGAAACAGAGGTGGTGTTGAAAAAAAAATATTGTCAAACCTCAAACCTTTACCCAAACTAAGCAAAAGAAAGAGAGGAGTTAAAATCAATTCATAATGAAAAGCTGTCACAACAGATACCAATTAGATTTAGAACATGATTAGATTTACCTTGAAAACATTCCACTAAGTTGGAAAGGAGGAGAAGAGAAGCAGACTGGTTTGTGCTTCTGAGGCTGCAGTGCACTCTGGGCTCACACTGTCACGCCAAGGACCATGGCTGGGTCCATGTCCATGCAGCAGTGGAGGTGCGGAGGGCTCTGGCCCCGAGGAGTGAGCATAGGAGAGCAGGTCGCACATCTTGCCCGGGCAGCACAGTAGCTCTGACCCTGGTGTCATGGGCTAGGGAGAGCTGGCAACGAGGGCGTGAGGGCAGGTGAGCTGGCTCTAGTGGGTGCAGGAGAGCTGGCAGACTGACTAGTTACCCCTCAACCCCAGCCCCAGATCCATGGCTTTTAATTGGCCCACCCCAACATTTACCCCATCGACGAACTGCTGGAGTGTGTAGGCATAATTTTTTCCAGCCTACTTTTAATAAGGGTTCAACCTCTCCTCTAGCCCACCACCCAGCAGAGGGACTGGAAGAGAAAAACTATAAGGATGTTGGGGACGTGGACCTGTTCAGTGATAGTTCTTTTAGGGCTAGTTTGATCTTTTGGCAGCAGTTCAGTCCTGAAGCAAACACCAAATACAACACAGCAACTGCAGACCAGTCCTCTAGGCAGGCAGACACCAGGCACGAACCAGCAGCTTCAATCCAGTCCTCTCCACAGGCAGACACCAGGCAGCTGTAGTTCAATCCTGAAGGAACCTCAAGGCTCCCCAACTGGCCTGAGTTGAGGCTGCTGGAACCTCACAAGCAGTCCTTGGGTAGACTTTCTCAATGGAGGCGTTATCACAAGTTGAGTTCAACAACATGTAAGACAAATGGATACATGCTTGTCTTTAGTGAAGAATGTCAAGGTGGAGCAAAGCAAGGTTCAGTGCTCATCTCCCCCTGACTGTGGGGTCCTATTTATAGTCCTTCACAAAGTGTCCTTTCACGTGTCTGCTATATCCAAACATCCTTCACCTGTGTCTGCTTCAGGAAAACAGTCTTTCACGTTTGCTTTAGCAAGACATCCTTTTACCTGTGTGCCCCAGCAAAGCATCGTTTGATGTAACTTTCCAAAGAACTAGAAGTTTCCACTTCAGGAATGCATGAAGGAGCTGGTTCTGACGAGCAAAGCTGCAGGATCCCCATGACACAGGACAACAAGAGGATGTCCTAAGGAGTCTTAGTAAGAATCCAGTATTGATGATGTAGCAGAAGCCAGAGGCCTCGAATCAGACCAGTGGCTCATTGCAACAAAGTAAAGATGTATCGACAAAAGGGTACATTGCATACACACTGCAGCTTCCACGGCCAGTGGCTTGTTTTTTCTTTTTTTTACTTTTTGCCTATTTTGTTTGTGGGGCAAGGTTGCAAGGGTGGAGGGCAGATGTGGAGGGATGGGGGATGAGTGGGATTGGGGTACATGCTCTGAAATTCACAATCAATAGAAAGTTAAAAGAATGAAACAAAAGTCTTGTATTTCATCCTGCATAAAAATGAACTCCTTGAGGCTGGAGAAATGGCTCAACTCAGATGTGTGTGTGTGTGTGTGTGTGTGTGTGTGTGTGTGTTTTGCGGGAGATATTTAAAATCGTCGGCAGTTTGGCTTTTCTTAATCAGCCGCCATGTTCCTGACTAGCCGAGGCCTTCAGCTCAGCTCCTGCCGTCTGCTCACGTGGGTGAGAGACACCAGCCCTGCCACCCACAAGACGCCAGCGTTGGAGATGGCTCTACCAATCTTCCACACTGTCTCCGCAAGACTGGGCATTGCCCAGACCATCCTGCCATCCACGCAGGCCCAGTAGGACTCTAATGCTTAAACAATCAAAGGCTTTATATGTTTGGTAATGCTCAATAACAATATGCCCATACAATTAGAGATGTTTCCCAATTAGCTAACCTAAATATCCTAAATATAAGTTGTTACCCGAGACTGCTCTCCATACCTGCATGGCTCTTCATCACTCCTACATCTCTGCCCTCTCTAGATCCTCCTCTTCTTCCTTCTCCTCTTCCTCTCCTTACTCCTCCCACCTTAGCTCCTCATATATCTGAGGTGAAATAAACTGTATTATATATTATATTGCTCTTGCTCTCGCAGAAGATCTGGGTTCTGTTCCCAGCAATTACATAATGCTGGTTCACAATTATCTGTTACTCCAGTTCCAGGGCACTTAATGCCACCTGCTGGCTTCTAGGGGCACCAGGCACATATATGGAGCACATACAACCGTACAGGTAAACCATACACTCATACAAATAAATCTTCAAACAAACAAACAAACAACCTTACAAATGGATCAGGGGAAATGCCCAGATGGCCATCAGTTGATGAGCAGATAATGAAAATGGTATATTTATACAATTTACTCAATTGTTAAGAAAAGTGAAATCCATGGGTAAATGGGTCTGGGAGAAGTGATTCTGAGGGAGGTAACACAGAAAGATAAATACCACATTTTCTCTTGTCTGTGAATGTTAGCTCTGAATCTTAAGTTGTATGTTTCATTTGGAATATCCATAGAGGTCAGAAAGTGTTAAGAGGCTACATGGGGTTATCTTTAAGGGAAAGGACATAGAAAGGAATGCTATAAAGGCTTAATAGTCCAGGAAGGATTTAACTGGGGTGGGAGAATGGGAGAGCAGTGTAGAAGGGGGGATGTGGACAGGTAGATAACACTAAAACAAGTTATTTGGAAACTACCTACTAATGTAGAAGCTTCCATAAAGAATTAAAATATATGGGGTTGGGGATTTAGCTCAGTGGTAGAGCTCTTGCCTAGCAAACGCAAGGCCCTGGGTTCGGTCCTCAGCTCTGATAAAAAAAAAATTAAAATATATAATGAGAGTTAAACTAGAATCCACCCTGTAACAGAACCGTAATGCTCCTAATAGACATCACAAGCTGAAAAATAAAAACCCAGTTACCTTAGAGACCTACAGCTAAAGTCTCTATGCACTCGAGTCACAGAACATGGAAATAAGAAGTTGGAACTAACATGGGAACATCATCATGTACCTCCTGGTTTAGCTTTCATGGTGATGAGAGGCAGTACACACGCTACCAAAGAAAGGTACTCACCAGTCTGTGAAC